CGCGCCGCCGAAACGCGGCCGCCACCGACACTTTCTTTTTTGTCGGCGCGCCGCCGCCGGTTGGTATATTATCGGCGCTCATGTCTACAATAGATTCAGTAAGGATGTATATTTTTTAAATACATAAAATAAGCATCCGCATCAGCATCCGCCGATGTTAAGGTAAAAAATCCACATCTGCATCTGCATTCTGCATCAGGAACAACCCTGCTTCAATCCAGTCCTTGGCCCTTAATCATGAACTTCCGCGGCGGTGACTTGACGAAAGTTTAAGACGGAACTTCAAAGCGAAAGACCGAAAATTCGATTTAGATACCTGAGCTATAGGACTGTTGTTGTTGTTGACTTTAGATTTTTTTGTTTAAACACTTGCTTTTTATCACAATTTTCGATAATATCCTGTTTCGCGGATTGTTACTTATATTTTTTATTATTTAATTATTAAGGCGTACAAAAGACATAAGTGCAACGACACATTAGGCTGAACATCGGTGGTGAATCTCGCAACACTTATTAAAAATAAAAAATAAATTATCGAGGTCCATACCGGTACCGCCACCACGTCGGACGAAGTTCAATTCTACAGAAGAACCGCTAATTTAGCGGTGGTGTTAATGGTGTTGCCAGTATCTTTGCGGTGTTGCTATAGTATGAGACAGCTCTTGTGACGTTTTTCAACGTAGTGATGTTAGTCCTGTAACCTACAACCACTTGAACGGTTTACTTAATTCTCATAAATATATTTTTTAATCATAAGCCCTTTAGAAATTGCGAAACGTTGTACAGTCGATTCCCTAACATATCTAACCTCCTAGCCGACCTTTTGGTTTTGAGAGCCTTCTTACGCATTTAACAGAAAAGTATAAAGAAAAAAAGACGAAACATTTAATCAGTTTATTAAGACTTATACAAACGAAATTAATAATTGAAAACACGCATTTACTCAGAATTTGACTGGTGATTTTCGATGCCAGACTTCACCGAGAAGAGAATCTACAACAACAGACAACACAAACATTTACAGACTATTACAGAATTATATTGTTAATTTTAATAAATTTACTTAGGATATACACAAAGAGGGAGTGGACTAACGTTAGGAGTAGAGTTGCATCGAATATTCGGTTACTATCGGTATTCGGCTTATTCAGCCCGTTTGCTATTCGGCCTTATACCGAATACCTATAAACAGGAGGACGAAATAAGATATAACACTGAACATCCATTGTAAGTTCGTGAAACAGCAATTTTATTTGAATAATCTAAAAAACTGTAACTTGACTCAGTAATTTTTCTAAGTAATTCAAAAAAGTTAACATATGAAATGAAAACTACCAATTTATTATGTAGTTCACTCTTACTAAATATCTAAATATAAATATAAAACTAAATATTACTTATTTGCAAAACCAAAATAAAATTAAGTTAATGAAATGAACGAACGAACGAAGGAATTTTTTTCTGAGTGTTCGATCTTTGTATTAATAATTATAACAAACTAGTGGAGTAATTGCACAAAAATAATTGAATATCAATTCAGTAAAAAAATTAAAAATACAGTGAATAGCGACATCTCTCGCCAGGACTGATAGCTGTAAAGATACTAACTGGGTGATAAATCTTTCATAGATTTCTCAAAGATGGCGCTACGACTAAAAAGTCGTTGAAAAACCAAATACAAAAACACGACGCAAGCACATAGAAAAATTCGTGTGGTCTGCTGGTTCGTTCCGTGACTTAGTTGGTATAGCGACGTCTTTTAGCGTACCGTGCCAGACGCACGGTTAGCTTACCGTGAAGACGTCGTAAGAAGACGTCGTCGGTTCGAATCCGGCCGGATCGAAGGAATTTTTTTTCTGAGTGTTCGATCTTTGTATTAATAATTATAACATAAGTTAATGAAAGTTAATCAAACTGACATAAACAATTAGTTTCTTCATTAAGTCATAAATTAAAATTATAAACCTGTAAATTAAAGTACATTTTTGTTTCATTGTACATAATTATTTATCATAACCGTACTTAAACAGCCGCAATTTTTCGTGTCTAGTTTCGTATGTGTGTTAATCAGACAAAATAGTTTAATCGAATATTCGACTATTCGGTCATAGGTTGAACAATACTACTAGTTGCAACACTAGTTCTGAGGAATTTGGTATTAACTGGACCTAAGTCTTCCGCATTGTAAAACAACTATGAGCATAATATAGCTCATATATATATATATATATATATTTATTTACTATAGTTCCTGGCAACATGGCGTAGACACTAGCGACACTACTACGTATAACAAATAATTTGGCTATTATATGAGAGGTTTTGACATAAGTGCCACAAATCTCGTTCCGGCTTACAGCCTATTTGTGTCAGTAAACTATAGTACGAGATCTCATGTATAACACTTACGTAGTTATGTATATTTACTAAAGTAAGTTTTGTAATTACTACATGAATGTTTTATGAAATAAATTAATTATAAATAAGAAAAAAAAAGAAGTTTATGAAATCTATTTTTCTGTCTACAGAAAATATATATATTTTTGATTTTGTAACTACCAAAACGTTGAGTCTGGTATATAGTGTAGTTGTATAATTATTACTTGTAATTTTAATAACATTTGAAGTAAGCATTAGTACTCCCTGTTAACCAATTAACTTGAAAGCCAGTCCGAAGTTCGGAAGTGGTATTTGACGTTTCGCACAGGATTTGATATTTCATGCTGAACTTCAGGCTTGCTTTTTAGTTAGAAGGTTCTTCTCTGATTATTATTTCTGAAAACGTTTGTAATTTTGTGAGAAAAAAAAATTAAAGAATTAAAAGTACAAGCATTATTTTGATGATTTTTATTTTCTTCAGTTGTAGCGATTCGTTAAAACATATTTTTTAAAGAAAAGTAGTTGACAGTTGTATTAAAAACCACAGAACACTAATATCTAATGTAATAAACCAAATTAAAAAAAAACCGTCCTCAAAAGTTCGTGGAACTACATCTATTTGCCAAGTTTATTAAAACCGGTTACCGGAAAGTGCGCGGAACTGGATTCATCCCCTAGTTTGCCTCTCCTCCATTTTTTTAAAGTCGGCTAAAAATGGTATATATTCTTAATTGCACCAAACAACAGAAGTATTAATTGAACAGAAGGTGAGTAAAGGTGGGTAAAGTGGTACGTCGCTGCTACCATTTCCAGGGTTTTACCTATGATGTGCTGCGTATACGGGCTGGGTTTTAGGGGGCGCCGAACGCCAAATTTCCGATCACTGGGAAAAATAAAATTATAACTATTCATTCTATCAACCCGAGAGATAGAGAGTTCCGGGGAGACCAGCGGATTCGCCAGGGTTTGTGGTTAGCTGCAGGGACGAACACGTTCGTCTGCCCTGGTAGCATTCGGCCGGGGCGTTCATCCCACGCGCAGCTAATGCGGCTGATCTGGGATCAAAACCTGCACTAGACGGTTCCTGTGCCCTCATAGGTATATTATAGTGCCCTTTTCGTATACCCTAAATGTCGTTAGGGAGGGTCACTATAATAAAAAGTAATGTAGAAATATATGGGGCTGTAAATATTCCATTTTGATGACGTGCCTATTAGAGGGCGTCAGGGTAATGATCGCATCTGGGCGCTATATGGGTTAACGCCAGCGTTGACCTCATCTTTGGGACGGCTGACTCAAAACCTGGAACTCAGGTGTCTATGTATATAGGGGGTTGAACCATTGGTGTACTATATTTGCGTCATCATTATGTCTGTCATTTTGTAGGCATTTACTGAACATCTACGGTTACTGGAATAAAACTACCTTTACATCTAATCGATGATCGATAAATGGTGGATGACAGATGTGAAACTACTAACTAATTTTTTTTTATTAGATGGGTATATTGTCCTGTGTGTGTGCATAGTTCGTGGTCACTTTCCCAGATGAACAAGAACTGTCTGCATTCAAGGAAAATATATTTATTTAATTATTAGGAATCCTCCATATGGTATATCGCCATATCATATATATGTTAGGAAATGTCGTTGTTAGGGTTATTGAGAAAAGCTGATGGAACGTGGATAGCTGCAGGATGAGGACTAAGGCAGCTGGGAGATCAATATTGATGTTACCCAGTGATCGCCCGATGGATGCTCAAGACTGTGTCGTCGTCGTAGCTGCGTGCACGTTGAAGATAGTGTAGTGATGCATTTAGGAAGTTCTAGTAGTGATGTTTAAGGATTTGTTAGGAACATTCAGTCAAGCTAGGGTAGCTGAAATAAAGAGTTAGGATTTAGACAGGTTACCTAAATAGCTAGGATAGCTAACGAATAATTATATTTTGAATTGTTTCATTAGGATGTGGTCATGGTCTGTCCTTTTAGATAGGTTTTTGGCAGACTAAAGCCACAGCCTCCTCGGTGGTTTGCTTGTTGGTAAGATAGTAGCTTCCGAGCAGTGTGTGGGTAGCCTATAGTAAAGGCTGATCACTTATGTGAGTTGCCTATCATAGGTAGGGCACCAGCTAGGGATGTTAATCCCTTCAGTTGTGAGGAAGAGGGATGTAGTCTATGCTCTACTCTATGAGTAGAAGTACTGGCTGAGTGAATATAGATTTGTATTTAGATCATGTTTAAAAAATAGGATAGGAAAAGAAGAACATCTTGGCGGATCTAGAAGTAGAGTAGAGCCTAGACTACAGTACTGTGCTTAAATATGCTTTAAAATAACGGTCTCTTCAGAGGAGCAAACAAAACACATTTGTGTAAAATTTTTATTGTGCATTTAAATAAACTACGAACATACAAAATTACGTTAATTAATTGTTAAGCATAATTAAAATAAAACCCTAAATAAGTTAGCCTATTACAATATAAAAGAGAATATTCTATCTAAAATCCAATAATACGAACGTTAACAGTTATTATCACTTGCCTTTTTATTATTATAATTAATAAATGCTTAGAAATCGCAACAAAAATCCAAAACCCAGAGATCCAAACTTTACATTTCAATGCGAAAGTTAATTTTAAAAAGTTTGTACTGTTAGCTTTTTTATTATTTTCCAAGCACACTTAAACGACTGTTAATATAATTATTAAAATGTCGATTTAAAAACTTCTTCGTCGTGTGTTTTTTATGTTTATAAAACAAAAGTTTCATGTTTAACATTTTTTAAGTTTAATTGTATAGGGTTACCGTATTATGCCGAGATACATTCACTGTAAAGAACCTACGTACCCACTCGTTAAGATTTGATAGGTCTGATACTCATCTGAATCAGATTCGTAAATATGTACGTTTGTCTGTTGTCGAAATTGATTAATCGACATTTTAATACTCGTTCTCTTCGTCAAGTTCTCCTTCAGTGGAGTCCACTCCGACTTCCTCGTAGTCCTTCTCGAGGGCAGCTAAGTCCTCGCGAGCCTCGGAGAACTCGCCTTCTTCCATACCCTCGCCGACGTACCAGTGGACGAACGCACGTTTGGCGTACATCAAGTCGAACTTGTGGTCCAGTCTGGAAGTATTGTACCAAAATAGGTGCTCGTACTCGATTATTTAGATAACATTCGATTGAGAAAGGCTTGAGGGTCCACTAAAGTTATTACAAAGGACAACAATTGACAAGTATTCTAAAATAACTAACTCCCTTAAGAGTTAAGAGAGAGAAATTTTTCCCGTACATACGGTTAATTTTGCTTGGGTCGAGTGGCAGGACACTGGCTTTATCTCAGAATTATTTTTTTTACAAACGAAATTAAAGCCATTTGAAAAACGTATATCGTATACTATACGTGTGCTTTATAGTTCGGTTGATATAAAAAATAACATGGGTATATGTAAATTACCCAATGAATGCAGCGGTTTTCTTGTAAAATTTCGAGGTAAGTTTGTGTTTTTTTTTATCGAGAAAATTTTTAGGAATTGTGTTTATACTAATCAATGTACGAGTATATCCTCAATTTTTTTATATGTTACTTTACTGCTATGCGGAATTAACCAAAGCCATTTGAGGTTGAATCGACTCTTAATCATTGCTCCTGTGATGCCAATCTCCGTGTCCAATATCCGCTCCTCAAAAATCCGTGTCCAATATCTTTTTGGACACGGACCAGTTACTGGAAAGTGAATAGGTTGATATACAGCAAAGTGTAGATACGTACCTAGCCCAAGCCTCGGCGATGGCAGTGGTGTTGGACAACATGCAAACAGCACGCTGAACCTTGGCCAAGTCTCCGCCGGGGACCACCGTGGGAGGCTGGTAGTTAATGCCTACCTAACCAAAGATGATAAGAGAAATGATCATTAGATTTTAGTTAAGTTACATTTTATTATTATTGATACAAAGATGGAACAAACACAAAGAAAAATTTTTTCGATCTGACTGAACTGGAACCAGTGTTTGTTACCTCACCGTGGCTACTGCCACCACCGTTGCCAACTGAGCTACAGATCGTGACACGAGATCATATTAATTTCTCCATGTGTTTACTACAGATCTTTGTATAGGGTTTTAAAAATTTAATACACAATGCAATCATTTTTATAAGAAACTGAGTCTACTAGCTTTTTAAAAAAAAGTAAATTTTATTCATTTTGTATGAAAGACATTTTATGAAATTTGACCGACTTCTGCTGTCCCGGTTTTTTCGTCACATACAATGAAAAGATCCTTACATAAAACTGAGTCAATCAACACTAAAAAAATTTTGGCGAATTTTATTCATTTTTATGGACAACTCACCCTTGACCAAACAATTGACTGCCAAAATTGTTTTCACAAAAAAAAACACTTAATGGTTCCTAAGACAGTTTCCTTGTATCTTCTTTAGTTTCGGATTTCCCCATACAGTCCCATTAAAAAAAAACTGTGTATCGTATTGCCTAAGCATCTCTTGGACATTAACTTACTTACATATTGACTTACCTTGAAACCAGTCGGGCACCAGTCCACAAATTGTATGGTTCTCTTAGTCTTGATTGTAGCAATGGCTGCGTTTACGTCCTTAGGGACAACGTCACCTCTGCAATTTAAAGTGACGTAAACTTTATTAATTTGTATAATTATATATCGGGTTCTTAGGTTTTCGCGATTGTTATACATAGGAAATGAAACTATTTTTCCGGATTTAAATCGCGTATATTTGTTTTTTCAAACATACCGATGTTTCGGGCTCTTTACAGGTCCCATGGTCACGGTTGAAACAAATATACGCGATTTAAATCCGGAAAAATAGTTCCATTTCCTATTGTATAATTATATTCTTGCATGATACTCCATGCTAAACTGTTGCACTTCGTCGGCTAAATTTGAAAACGTCATTAGTCCGTTTCTGGACGACATACCTATTTGATTCTTCAATGCAATACGGACAATTAAAGCTTATAGTATAATTTGTAGACCCTTTTTTCCTTATAATAATAAATAAAATAAAATAAAATGCTTCTTTATTTTATTTTATTTTACTTTATTTTACTTATTTTATTACATATTACATAACAATGAAATTGAATTTTATTTATGGAAAATTATTATTATTAATGAAGTATAAATTAGAATAATACAAAGATAAATAATTATGTACAATGAAACAAAAATGTACTTTAATTTACAGGTTTATAATTTTAATTTATGACTTAATGAAGAAACTAATAGTTTATTTCAGTTTGATTAACTTTCATTAACTTATGTTATAATTATTAATACAAAGATCGAACACTCAGAAAAAAATCCTTCGATCCGGCCGGATTCGAACCGACGACGTCTTCCAGCTTACCGTGCCAGACGCTATACCAACGTAAGCTAAAGACGTCGGTTCGAATCCGGCCGGATAATATATATATAGCGTCTGAGTGTTCGATCATTGTATTAATAATTAAAACAAACTAGTGGAGTAATTTCACAAAAAAATAATTGAAAATCAATTCAATAAAAATTTAAAAAATTATAATTATTTTATTTATGTTTTAAAAATGGAGTGTTCGCTTTGGCTCGCTTACAAAATAGCACGTATCGCATGCTGTCCTTGCAATAATAATGGCCGAATCGCTCAATCTCGTAAGAAACGTCCAATGTCTCTTTCATATTATAGCGAAAAAATCCTCTACTCTATTCACGGCAAACATGCCAGACGCACTACACCGACAGGGAAACCTAATAAAAAGGTATAATGATAGATTGTCAAAGTGGCGGATTTGCAGTCTTGGCCGACTTAGGCCCCAGGCCAAAGATACATATGTGACATATCTATATTTTATACATAAAATGTACGAAAGTGATTTAGAAAGATTATTGTTATACGATGCGGTGCAGTGCGGCCCGCCGTAATGTGCGTGAGCCTTGAGAATATTTAAGTACTTTGAGTTATTTTTTGTTATGGTCGGTGAATTTTTTGTCACTATTGGCCGCCCTAGGCCTGGGCCTACTGGGCCTTAGGGCAAATCCGCCACTGGATTGTCATATAATTATTTCTAGTAGGTAATCCTGTTTTTTGGGCCTATTCAAAAGTTCACATTAATGGAGCTTACGAGGTTTGCGAATTTAGCCGAGGATTTGTAATTTATTACATACGTACGCACAGAACGCACGATATCAGTAGTACCTATCGAATGAGATTACCTGTATAACATGCAACAAGCCATGTATTTGCCGTGACGGGGATCACATTTCACCATCTGCAACAAAGCAGGAATTTTAAGAATCTGGTAAAACGTCCGCTGCAAACCATAACTAATGTTATAGAGTGGTCGGGTGGTGAGCATTTATCAATATCCCTTTGCATTCGAATTTTTTCGTGGACAAGATATTTTCGAATGTATATTTGGAACATTTGGTTCAGATTATGTCTTTATATATCAATCGAAGATTTCCAGGTATATTATCAAAGTTGTGTAATTTGGGATAACAACAATTAATTGTGGGCGTACCTGATTCGCTGGCTCGAAACAAGCGTTGGTGATTTCAGCAACAGTCAGTTGTTCATGATAGGCTTTCTCGGCAGAAATGACGGGAGCATATGTGGCCAGAGGGAAGTGAATGCGAGGGTAAGGCACAAGGTTAGTCTGGAACTCAGTCAGGTCAACGTTTAGGGCTCCGTCAAAGCGTAAAGACGCCGTGATTGATGAGACGATCTGGAAATAAAGTTTTTATACAATGAGGATATTAGAGATACTGGTTAAATTGTATAGTTTTACTTGAACTATTGATACTTATGAAGAGAATATCAATTCCAGTTTCGGAGCTTTCATTTTCGTAATAGGTATCTTAGAACAAGTACCTACGTAATCTTTTCTTTTAATTTAAAAAAAATTGTGTGTGTAACTGTAAACATCAAGTAATAAGATCTCATACCTGTCCAATAAGTCTGTTCAAGTTTGTGTACGTAGGACGATCGATATCCAAATTGCGTCTGCAGATATCGTAAATGGCCTCATTGTCGACCATAAATGCACAGTCCGAGTGTTCCAGTGTTGTGTGCGTTGTCAGGATGGAATTGTAGGGCTCGACGACGGCAGTGGATACCTACAACGGAGCATGGGCAATATTATTGGCGTTGTCTTTATTTTCTTTGAAAACTTCAAGTTTCCTTCCAATATTGTCGTACTATTAAGAGTAAATTAAAATTGAGTAGGAAGGGAGATTTGTTTGGCATGATATTATAATACAATAACTGTGATCTTAGACACCGAAAGGGTTAATCGTACAAACTAAGCAATACCTTCAAATATAAGCCTAATTGTCTATGAAAAGAGATTGTGAAGTAGGTACCTGAGGTGCAGGATAAATGGAGAACTCGAGCTTAGACTTCTTGCCGTAGTCGACAGAGAGGCGTTCCATCAGCAGGGAAGTGAAACCGGAGCCGGTGCCTCCGCCGAACGAGTGAAATACCAGGAACCCCTTCAATTAGAACAACACAATCAGAACAATAGGCATAATTTAGGTGCGCATGCTCCATCGTCGACTTCATCGTCACTTTCCATCAGGTGAGATGGAAGTCAAATGCGCACTTACTTTTTAATAAAAAAAAAAGAACTTTGTAGGTACCGTTGAAAGTTGCAACCTCTAATAATTAACAGTTGCGTCTTTTCTTTCGTCTTTAACTACCACCATACCATTTCTCGATGACAATACCTACGTATTTTTTTCCGAAAATAGCTTACTGAAGCTTTGTTTGTACAGGTTTGTAAGATATCAAAACACTTTGTGATTGTAAGGTGAAAATTCATAGTTCCACCCACCTGAAGGCCAGTACATTGATCAGCAAGCTTTCTGAGTCTGTCAAGCACAACATCTACGATCTCTTTGCCGATGGTGTAGTGACCGCGAGCGTAGTTGTTCGCCGCGTCTTCCTTGCCAGTGATAAGCTGTTCTGGATGAAACAGCTGACGGTATGTACCCGTGCGGACCTCATCTGTGGATTTTAGTTGTACTCTCTGATATTTGTATGTGAAAAGTTTAGAACTTTGTAAGAAATCTGTTCCATAACTTTTTGTTAAACACGAAATAGTGCAAAATGTTTCGTTATTAATTTTGAAGGCCCCTGTTAAAGATCTGGAAAGATTTACTCTTTCTATGTTTGATTCGCATTTATTTGTCGCAAGTATGAAATACTGCCTGATAGTACTGGTCAAGTACGGAGTAAACAGTATACTTTATATAATGGGCTAACGGTAATATCTACTTATAATCTTTATTTCTTTGTAAGCGCTGGTTCTAAAGTTCTCACATTTGCAACCTATATTCATAAAAAGACCAGTGGGGTGATTCACGTAATTAAACCGTTACGATATCGTAGCGATTTAGTCGTTGAACTGCTTTTTCGTATTCACGTGTGACAGTGAACGTCAACGAGTCCAATTTTAAAGTCTTACGATCCAAATGTCTTTAAAGCGTATTCTGGTATATGAATCGAACTTAAATTGACCCTAAACGAACGACAAGTCATACGCATTCTGCTAAAATTTTGACAGTTCTTTCATTAGACTTTCGACGACTAAATGTCAAATTTCACAATCCAAGATGTCGTTCATTAGTCGTTACGTTTCGATTCTACTCATATCAACGTTCGTACAAGTGATACGTGAATACCCATTTTGGATAGAACTTCGATCTAACGACTACGTAACTTCAACGATATTTTGATAGCTTGAACTCACGTGAATCGCACTATAGGCCTGAGTGTTACAAATGCGGTGCTTAATATAAACTTAAAACAGACAGTAATCGAGTGGCATGGTGCCAAGAGTAGTAACTGCAATGCTGACTCATATCCTCTTTTGCTTGTTTTTGTTCGACTCGGTTGAGACTTGTTTGATTGCTTTTAAACTTTATACGTAGTTGTACGCCTTTGTAAATATATTTGTAGTGCTAATTACACGTGATTGCAATTAGTTTATGTAAGTACTCTAATATTATCTATTTGACTTTACACATATAAGGGCAGTCAGCTATGATATTATCTATCGTCTTCTATAGTTCGATGACTATATACATATGGGAAGAGTTCTGGCAGCTCGTACATAGCACATATTTAAAATCATTTTATCTAATAAAAATATGGTCGGCCCAAATACCGATGGATAGTCTTTTTTTTTTATGATAACAAGTGATGGACCGTACAAGTCGTACACCCGATGGTAAGCGACACACTTGTCCATAGCAGTTGCAGTGCAGCTCAAAGGCCACTGCCACTGCGCCCGTCACCCTGAGACATAAGGTGACAAGTCCTAAGCGATTGTAATTTCACCAGCACTTTTAGCCTTCAAAACCGGAAAGCAATAATACTTATGTTACTGCTTGGCGGCAGAAATAGGTAAGGTGGCAGTACTGCCGTCCACTTACTAAGACGCGGCTCAGTGACAAATGGTCAAATATCCGATTTGAATAGCAAAAAATAGAGCACAAAATTATCTTTTAAAAACAGTTAAAATTAGTCAACTTGTTCGACTTATCGGTACTACGTATCACATATCAGTACTACACTGGACGGACTCTTTCACAAGGAGCTCTACTGCTACTAACACTCCTGCACGAAGAGAACTTTTTTATTTATTTTTATAACACCAAGTGACGGGACCATTGACTTACAAATAAATGGACGACGGGTCTAATACAAAAACCACGAAAAAAATGTCCCAAGTCAACCTATTCGAAATTTAAATTGTTATGTCATCGCAGTATCGCGCTGTCCGTAGAACAAATGAAGACTAAAGCGGAGTGTCACGCTCTGTATACGATTTTAGCGCCTTACAAGTGCGGACACTTTTTAGCGCGGACCCGACGTCCATATAATTGTAAGTCAATGGACGGGACGGACAGATCGTGCGCCTGATAGTAAGCTACACGCCTGTCTATGACAATTACAGCGCCACTCAGAGCTTTAAATTGCAAAGATCTGAGGAACCACTGCCACTCCACCCGTCACCCTGAGACGTAAGTTGACGAGTCTCATGTGCCTGTAATTTCACCAAAGAACTGGGAGGCGCGCTGGCGTCAGCTCGTATCGAATCAAGACCTTAGTCGGATTGCTGAGCCAGCGGAGTAAGCAAGTCAAAACATTTATAAAAATTAAATTTTTATTGAATTGATATTCAATTATTTTTTGTGAAATTGCTCCACTAGTTTGTTATAATT